CTACAGCAGAGAGTAAACTAGAACAGTGATAATCTGAAAAGGCAAACAAAAAATAGATAATAATTAAAAGAGATTTCATTTACCTTATCTTAAGAGAAGGGCTGCTATTTTAGGAGAGAAAGAGAAGAGAGAGGTGCACCTTTGTTCTTCCAATTTTCTTGAGCCAAATGTGGTCTCAAAAGTCAAAGCTCATAAAATAAGGAAACTAATAAACTCTATATAGCTGACGTGGTCCAACGAAAGATTGACAAGTCACATTGCAAGGTGGGCCCCAACAGAGACCAATACTCACTCAAACTTGATTGAAAGCAAACAAGAATATTTTTCCCGAAAATAAGTTTTAAGTTTATCCATTAATTCTAGTTCAAAAATATCAAGCCTGCAGTTTACCATATAAATGAATATAATTAATAAATATATTAAAAAATAATTCTAGTGTCTAGCACATGTAGCAAGCACGTACTGAAGTTAAGAAGCCCGAGAGTTTCGTAGTGTAAGCCTTAAGTCATGACATTCTGTGAGAACGACCTGAAAATTTGGCATTAGGCTTTCAGTAAGAACATGTTTTTCACTTATTTGTGAAAAGCACTTCTAAGAAAATTTCTGCTAATTCGTTATCTTGAATTAAAAGAACCAACAAAAAAATAGCAAATTGGCAAAATCAACAAACAACACATTACATGGACAGAAAATAGACCACAACAAATTCAATTAATTAACATCCATCATGCATGATCTTTCACAAACCACACATGCATTTGCATTTCTACCTATTTCTCCACAACAAACTTAAGCACACACACTGAAAGCTCCCCACTCATCTAAGAAGACAACAACATAAGTACACAGATAATAAGATACCAAACAAAGTTAGTAGCAAACCAAATTCTTTAAGCTCCCCTACACATTGAGCTCGAACTCAAATTCTTTTTCTTCTTGCTCTGCTTTCCCACGAGCACTGATATACGAGCAAACCCAAACTTCTTTCTCTTCACGGGTGGCAGCTGTTCTTTATTCTCCTTCCCTCCTTTCTTGCACGCCAAATCACGGCTGGTGGGTTGACCGAGCATTTGACCAAGTGACACCTTACCATTCCCAATCCCATTCTCATACTCTTCAGTCAGCATCAGCTTCCTGCTCAGAATCTGCCCAATCGAAAGTGTAGTCTTCAGAACCGGCTGTGGGCCATCATTAACAGTCACGAGGCCCGGCCCACTAGAGGTCTTGAATTTGGTCGGGTTTTGGACTGTACGCCGCTTACGGCTATGCTCCGAACGCCATGCTCGGAGAGCCTCCTCAACTGCAAGCTTGTCCCGATTTGCTATATCCACTCTGGATAATGCTTCTTCCAGAGCCTGCTTGCTCGTTTTCACTTCTTCTGTAGCCTCCTCGACTTTTCTCAAGATTTCCACTCTCGACAGGTCTGCTTCGTCGACTTTGGCCATCGCAGCCTCCACTCGGCACTTAGATATCTCCTCCGATTCATGAGCTTTCGAGACTAGCGACGAGTACTCCTCTACGGTCAGAGTCACTATATTTTCGGAATTCTTTTCTTCACTTTTGGACAGGGCTTTGATTTCGGCTAACGCCACACGCTCGGAGGCCCGTGCCGCTTCTTTCATCTTCCTGGCAGCGATCAGCCGTATCTCGGCCGTTTTGATCTTGTTCTTCGTCTGCTCGATCTCAGATATTGCCTTCTGAACTTGCGATTGCGCGGCTTGCCCGACTTTCTTGAACTGTTCGGCCTCTGAGCTCAGCTGCTGCAGCTGTCGGGTGACATCTGAGGAGGAAATATTCGTGTGGGACCCGCCGCTGGCTAACTTCGCCTCGTCCAGCTTGTGCTTTGTTTGGCTGAGCTCGTTTTCGAGGGAAGAGATTTTCGAGGTGTTTGAGGAGAGCCTCAGGCGGGTTTTCTCGAGGGAGGCTCTTTCCTCCTCGATTTTCTTGTTGTACGAGTCGATCGTGGCTCGGATTCCGGCAAGGTCACTGGTGGTCCGAGTTAGGTTCAGTTTGGCCTGCTTGAGTTCGAGCAGTATAAAACCGGGGGCTGAGGAGGGGCAGAGGTTTATTAAACCATCAGTCTCCTTTTCTTTCTTTTCTTCTTGGGAGGCTTTGAGGGCCACATTGATTTCGGATGTTTCTTTCTGCAGCTTTTGCTTAAGCTCTTCAACTGTGTTTTTTGTGCTCTCGAGTTCTTTAAGGACATCGAGAGTTTCCCTTTCCTTAGCGATGAGATCTCTTTCTAGTTGTGCAGTCTCCTCCTCCAATTTGACGATGTCAGCTGTTTCATCTTCATACTGTCATATGCAGGAAAAAAGAATAAGTGTCTTATTCGAATAAAGGAATCTTTAACTCAATTCTGAGCATGACAAAATGAAATTTCAATGCAGAAGGAGATTCATTTTTGCACTTCATTTGAACCAATGTTTTGAGCAAAAGAATACAAGAATCATCAGTAGAGAATTGGTCAATGAACAAAAACCATAAAGAGCTGAAAAATGAAGTTCCTAAAGTTGAAATTTGAAATGGGTGCGAATGGTTTGAAATTCGAACACTAAATTAACGATGATTTTCAAGAATGACTTTACTTTAACTTTTACACACTAAGGTTCACGCATATACAGTTCGGCCCCGCACCTAATAAAGCAATATGATTAGTGAAAGAGACGAAAAAGCTAACACATACATGGCGTGCAGTTCCTATTTGCTAATTCCATTTGAATATCATCAAGCAGATAATGTGGATGAAAAAAGCCGAAAAAAAAAACAGATTTTTATCTTCTGCAGCTACTGAAAATACCAAATTTGAGACCAAATTCAACACATTTTACCAAGATAAAAACAGCAATCTCAAGACCTTCACGAAGCAAAGCGAAAACCAAAAACTACTGTCCAAAAATCAAATAGCAACAAAATCAACACACAGCTAGATTCTGAAAAAATAAAAATTAAAAAAAATACTGAATTCAGCACGAAAATCACTATGCCATTTTCCCAAAGACCTCTTAAGACAAACCCACAAAAACCCAAAACAAAACACATAAAAAAAGCAGGAAAAAATTACAATGCGAGCCCCCAGACTACCTCGGACGCATGCTCGGACGGCTTGTGCGAGGCCGGTTTCCAGAAACCCATGCCGCCGAAGCGGCTCGCTGCCTCCTTCACGGACTCGAACGGCACGGACGTGTCAATCTCGGTTCTTGCCGGAGGGTTTGGACCTCCGAGGCTCGAATCGACGGTTTGGGGTTGAAGGATTTGAGAGCTCTCAGTCGCCATCTTCAAGGAAAGGAAGAACCCAACAAGGAATGTGACCTAAGAAGCTCAGAAAAGTGGGTTTTGAGAGCTGAATTTGACAATGGTGTGTAAATAGTGTCTGTCTCTGGGTGTTTGTTTTTGTGGGGAACTGTGTTGACTGTTGAGAGAAAACTGAAGCAGAGCAAAGACTGAGCAGTGTAACGTTAGTGTTGGCCTTTTGTCGGTTTTGGGCATTGAATTTTACAAGCGTCTAATCGTTAGACGGATGTAATAAATATTAAATATTTTATTGATACTTATATTGTTTTCTAGTATTTGAAAGTTAAAAAAGTATCAGTTAAACTTGCTAACAATAGTATTACTGAAAAAAATAAATTATTAAAAATATGAAAGAAGAAAAAAGTTTAATTGGTGCCAACGTTTGGATTCTTTACCTATATAGGCAAAGGCAGCACACTTATTGAAAAGCTGAAAATCTAACAAAATTATTGGGATAAAAAATGATACTACTAAAGTATCATATTTTTTATACTAGTTTTTCTAAGGTATAGAATGTTACTGGTGAAAGTTACTGTATTTTTTTTGTTGAAGCAAGACCTTGAATTACCACAGCCTTGACTTTCATTAATGTACCTCGTTTTAGATGGATGTGTATAAATGCAATTGATGCAATTTAAGTAAATGTAAACTTTTTACCTAATAGCTTTTGATTAAATGCATAGAGTTATTAACTCAGTAGATTCAATTTGTTAACTAAAAAAGTTCTAAATAAAACAAGTCAATTTTAACTCGTTAAAGTTTAAAAATTGTAATTTTTATTAACCGAGCTCTGCTCGACTCGATAGAAACTCGAGTCCAAACTTGACTATCACGAAAGTTGATAAAATATTCTACTACTCTTAGTTAATTTTACCAAATTAAAAACATCTCATTTTATTATTATTATTATTATTATTATTATTATTATTATTATTATTCAATTAGGTTTTATTTGAATGCTTTGTGCTTAAGTTGGCCCAAAAAAAAAATATGTATTTGAGGCGGAAAACATCATTGCTCGACCGTTGCCCCAAAACTGTTTAGAGTAATAGCCGTTGGCCCAAAAAGTACTTTCATTCAAATTGGTCTTCCGCCCATATAAGTAATAAGTAGAATTTAAGTTTGATATATTAATTTATTTGAAAATGAAGGAATTACTAGTAATTAAGTATATGATGTAGAAAAACGTACGAGTGAGAAAAATAAACGAAATACTCTCTCGATAAAACTCACAAAACTCACGAATGTTTTATTTCCTTTTAATAATCAACTGCAAATAACAAAGAATAAGGAGTCTTTAAATAAGACTTCTACAGCACTAAACCTAACTTGTTCACCAATCTACTACATAATAATAATAATAATATTTATTCTGCATCATTCTCCAACGTTTCCCTCGATCGAACACGAAGGTTGAAGGTCGCCCAACAACCCCGAAAGTAAACATAATCTTGGGCAAGGATTGAACTGCTGCAAAGACACATGTACACGCCTTCATACGCATAACCCACACAGCTGAATTAACACAAAACATACCACATTGTTCGCCACGCTCAAATCCATAACTACGGCCAAACATCCCATTGTTTGGAGATTTCGCGATAGACAATAAGAAAATGGCCCACCCGTTATTGAATCTCGACATCGGCTCCGAAAAACCATCGTTGGCCAAGATACTCCAAACACCGTGTTTCAACGACGACATCACCGTCAAAGGCTCAACTTCTGCGACGTCCCACGCGGGACACATATTGCCGCAAAAATATGTCTCCGTTACCGGAGGCTCCTCATCGAAAATAGGCGGACCGTCGTACAATAGCCTGTCATCTTCCTCAAAAATCACACTCTGTTGCCGCACATCTTGGTCGTCATACGCAACAACGAGCTTAGTCTCGACGGGCGGAGGCGGCCACTCTCCGAAGGGATCCACCTCTGAGATGGTCTCCTCGATGTCTGCATCGTCGGACGGCGGTTGTGGAGATGGCTGACAGGGCGCCCCGCTTAGACCACGACCTCCACTTCCTCCGTGAACTTCCCCGCACACACCTCGGTCGCCGGCAACATGGTTCATCTGCAAATCCCATATCACGTTGTTAAGCGTCAAACGCAAATCCTCGATCTCCGTCAAAAGATCTGCAAACCAATCCGTGAAACGTACGTCCAACTGTTCAAATCGATAGTCGATCTGTTGAAACCGATCGTCGTAGGTTGCATCACGTCGTTTGTTTGCGGCATCTTGTCGTCCTGGCGGCATCGCGAATCGTACTGACTGCTGATACCAACTGATGTAGGGAAGCGTACGAGTGGGAAAGATAAACGAGATACTCTCTCGATAAAACTCACAAAACTCACGAATATCTTATTTCATTAGATAAACGAGATACTCTCTCGATAAAACACAAAACTCACGAATATCTTATTTCATTTCAATAATCAACTGCAAATAACATAGAATAAGGAGTCTTTAAATAAGACTCTACAGCACTAAACCTAACTTGTTCACCAATCTACTAAATAATAATAATAATAATAATAATAATAATAATAATAATAATAATAATAATAGTATTTATTCTGCATCAATACATGTTACTGCAAATACACAACAATTAATTTGATAAAGTATTAATAAAAGATTTATTCTATATTAAGTTATTAACATAATGGAAAACATAATAGATGTGTCAATATTCTATCTATACATCACATTGTTTTTAAAATTAAAGAAATAAATTTACATATCATTTTAGCACTTTTGCCAAAAATTTATACCATAGTATAATTTTCCTTTATAAAATAGCAGAACCAGTTTTCTTTTTTTTTTTTGTTACTCTAATTTTGTTGCAACAATTTGAAGACGTCCATACTTTATTTGTCGCAATAGGAATTCTAACAACGAGATTAACGAACTATGATAAGTATAATAATGTTCTTAACAATTGAACAGTAAATGAGTTTTCGGCAAAAAGAAGGATTTCAATTCGATAATTTTACTTTCTGAGCGTCTTAATTATTCGACCCTCGTACCTTATTAATTATAGGTCTCCAAGAACATTGTTCATAGTTTTATTTTTTTTTCAAAGTTAGACATAGTTTGATTTGTTGACTTGACACATATATATTTCGACATTTATCAGTTTCTAAGGTTTTAATTACACGACTATAATATATGTCACACTAATTTGAGCTTAGTTGACTTTATGAGAAAAAAAAGATTTACGGATCTGTTGACCGGTGGGTAGAGAATGAGCAAGTTATAATACATAATACATACTATGTTAAAAGGACCCATGAAATATGCATTGCTACAATGCTGTCTAGCTCTAATTATATCTTCATATTCCTCAGGCTTTAACTCTTTTAATTAATTTTCCTCAGTTTTGTACAAACGTTTTTCTCGTAAAAATATTGTAGGTAGCATTATTGATGCCATGCCATGTCTATATCAACATTTAAGAATACAAATTATACTGTTCACTCTAAAAATTAATGCGTGATGCATGTGGAGAAATTTTTATTTATTGTGTGTTAAATGTTGCAATCATGCAATATATACCTAATTAATTGATTAGAATTTAATAACTGTTTCTCGATACTTGAGATTATGTCATTCACGAGATTTTAATGTTTTCAAGTCCAAATTACATAAAAGAAAACAAAAGGCTTCCACAAGCAAATTTTATGCCCAACATTTTCGAATTACGAATTGGATCGAATTGCAAGACAATGTTAGCAACTGGCAACACCTAGAGATGTAAAAAATCGAGTCAAGTTCGAGCTCCTGATACTTGAGATCGAATACAAGACTTTATCGAGTTGAATTGATTAACAAGCTGAAATCGAGTCTTAACAAGTCGAATTATAGAAAATTACATATAAATCCAGATTTTTGAGTTGTGACGAGTCGATTCTACCTTGATTCGTCGACTATATAAGCTCGAGCTCGTCTTGTATCGCTTAAAATATCCAGTCACAACATAAATCCTCTGATGTTCAAGTGGAAAGTTTATTTATTGTGTTAGAAAATGAACATTATTTGATACTCCCTCCCATTTTTGATAAGTGTCGTTTTGAGAAGTTGCACAGTAATTAAAAATCTTTTTTTTTTGCTAATAATAACCCTCATTAATGAGAATAGAGATGAATGGTTTGAGAAAAGAAGAAGAGTAAATACGAAAAGACGTAGTATATTTATTACCTAGATGAGGGTAATAATAAAAAAATACTCCCTCCATTTATTACCTAGATGAGGTTAATAATAGAAAAATATGTACAAAAGATCCAAAACGTTATTTATTTAATTAATTGTTGATAAAGCTAAAATGACATTTAAAAAAAAATAGGAGTTAATATTTATTAGAGATTACATTGTTGCAATATAAGGCGTAAAGAACCATTTTCGTAATAATAATAATAATAATAATAATAATAATAATAATAATACCCCCTTTTTTATCTTGTGGGGGTCCGACACTCGGGTATTATCCTGTGGGGGTCTTGTGTTGTTGTTTTTTTGTTGTTTTGTGTGCTTTTTTTAGTGTTCTTGAGTATTACCCCGTTGGGGTCGGTTCTAGGCGATCTTTTTGACCTGTCCTCTCACTTTTTCAGCTATTGGCTGCTTGTATGCAGCTATTGGCTGTTTGTAATCAGCTGGTGGCTGCTCTTTGCACATTTGTGTGTTATATATAATATCTCTATTGTTCCGTAAAAAAAATGATAATAATATATTTTATTGAAAATAAATTACTTTTTTTTCAGTAAACACCATATTAATAAAAGTGGGCTCATGATATAGGTTAATGGAAAAATCTTGTTTCCAGTAAAATATATTAACAAAAGTGGACTAATTTTTGATTTTTCTATTGGGCCTAACACCGGATACCACAACATGACGACATCATAAATAAATAACTCTTACCGCGTAGCAAAGCCCACAGTCCACACTCCCCACACGCTACTGATCTCATTTTACTCATCAAAATAGCCAAAGTATCAAGGCCGTGTCCATTCCCCCACCCCCAAGGCACGTGTTCATGCATTATTGCTGATCAATGCAAAGGCTGCCTTATATTCAGAACCAGACATGGCCAAAACTAGATTTTCGAACAGCGTTTTGAGGGTCTTGAATCGGCTCGATAACATATACAATCTGGTTTAATGAATTGACAGTTCCAGTTCAGAATTGGTCCTCTTGTTTCGGGTCGAGCCAATAAGTAAAAAAAAAAAAGAATAAGAAAAAAATCGTTGAATCGAGGAACTAGAACCGCCAGTTCAAATTGTACCTTCAATCGACCCGAGTAAACACGGGTCAACTTCAGACCGATTCGGTTCGTGGATATGTCTAATCAGAACAATGCTCGACGAACATCTTAGCTCAATTAGGCGAAAAACTCAAGATTACACATTCTTAGTCACTCCAAGTCTTCTTGGAACCTTTCATGAAGCTCGGCTCGTGGAGTTAGTTTAGTTCGAATCGTTTGATAAAATAAGTGCATTTAGACAATGTCTCAATTAGAGGTGCTAAACAAAATGAGCCCCTCGTAGCCTCGGCTCGGTTTGACTCTAACTAGATCGTTTGGTAAACTAGTCAAGCTATCGACTCGAGTAATTAGAAATATGGGGTTTTATTAAACATAATTTCACGAACACAACATTAGATCGATTTGTAAAGGTCTGAGCTCGACTTGTCAACTTTAATAAACGAACTACGCTCATGTTCATTTATCTGCTCGACTAGTTAATGAGTTGAATTTGACTGGATAAAGACTCGAATATCAATAGACTGAACTCGACTCTGACTCGACTTGACTCATCCAGATTCCTAATCTCAATCAAATCCTTCCCATAACTAAAAAACAACAATAATAATATTATAATAAAAATTTGTGAAATTGGAGAGTGTCATTGAAAGCCCATCTTGTGTGTGGGTACCACTCGTCTCCACGCAAATCTTCATGTGCATATTATGCACCCAAAATCTCTCCATTTGCATCTTTGCATTACATTATTTTATAGTGTTATAACCACCAAACCAATACTCACTCGATCCAAAATCAACACACACGCACCAAACTTTTNAAAAAAAAAAGCAATGCAGTTTAGCAGCATCAACCCAGATTTCCACCAAAAACCCCTTAGCCTCCACAATAAGCTCCTCTCCAAGGAGACCTCCAAATCCAACCCTTCCTTCCGAATCTACTACGGCGAACTCCCGAGCTCCGTCCCCTTCACCTGGGAAACAATCCCCGGCACCCCCAAACACCACCACGCCTCCGCGGGCGACCACCACATCCCGCCGCCACTAACCCCTCCCCCGTCGTACCACGCCCACTCAAATTCCCTCCGAGCTTCCTCCGAAAACCCCTCCCGACCCAAAATTCTCTTCCAAAACCTCCTCCGCCACATTAACCCTAAGAAACCCAGCCTCGGCTCGTCGTCTTCTTCCTCCTCCTCCTCATCGTTCTCCGACCACTTCCGACGCCGGAAACGCCGCCGGTTCTCCGGATCGGGCTCGTCGTTCGACTCCGGATGCTCTGTTTTTGTCGTGAAGAAGGCTTTGCTGTCCATCGTCGGCCGCGGCTCCGGCTGATCGAAGGTTAATTCTGTTTTGTGTGTTTGTTGTGCTATATGTTTTTAGTTAATTTGTTGCTGATTATGAGCTCAATAATTGCAAATTGATGATCTAAATGTATTTTGTATTGTGAGTTTTATGTAAATTTGACGTGCTATTTGTCCTACATTTTATCATATTCATCATATATGGTTTCACTTATTTTTCCCTTTTGGAGAGGAACCTATTCAACTAAAAGTTGTTAAACATCTGTTGAGCTCAACATAAAACTAGTTGAGCTAAACAAGCTGACTAAGACTCGAAAGTATGAGTTTTGATGTAATTTTCTATAGTCAAGTTCGAACTCGTTTTTCACCTCGTTTAGTTCAATTGAGATCAAACTCGAGTATCAGAAGCTTAAGCTTGCTTTGACTCGTTTACACAGCTCCATAATGTATATGATGGGGAAAAAAATTAAAATTGTTCTTGTATGTTACTTTTTCTTTAGAATGTAGAATTTCCCCTATAATGTAGCAGCTGAATGAATTCATGAATTTTAGGCCCCCTACATAGTATCTATTTTAGAATGAAGTTGAAATTTTGTGATTTACTAGGCATTTACAAGTGTAGTTTTTTTTTTTTCATCTCTAATAGTAGTAAAATTATTGAACTTCGAGGCAGAGTATACCCACATATGAAGACAGATGTGTTTACAGTACTGTCTATATTTAGTGACTAATGAATGTGAGCAGAACAGTTAGTTGAAGGTTCCTATCTGCATCATTAATATTATTATTTTCTGGACATATATTAAAGTTTGGAATCTTTCTCTGTCTACTTTTTTCCTCAAATATTTGCAGAAGTTAGGAATCTTCTGTAGTTATCAAATTTGTTGATACCATGTCTCAAATATTAGTCTCTCAAATACTATCAAATGTTTAGGAAGCTCTTATAAGATCTTTAGTTTTGCTTAGAGGTATGAATGAGTCGAGCCAAGTCTCGAGTTTATGATACTAGAGCTTGGCTTCGAACTGAACCTTTATGGAGCCAACTGATAAACGAGTTTCAGTTCGGCTCGTTTACCAACACTAACAAGCCGAACGTGAATCTTAATGAATTGAGTTGATGTAAAGATTTAAAAAATTATATAAAAACCTCTATTCTCAATTCTCACTCGAGCCCTAAATAAGTTGAACTGAATTCACGAGCAATTGATTCCGTTTATCAAATGTGGTTGTGATTTGACTTGCGCTAATAAAACAATATGTTATGCTTATGTTACTTTTGTAGGGTTATGCAGCAAAAAATCAGAAACCCAACTAATTCATTAATGAAGGATAATTATGTGGCAAGATGGTTGATAAACCTTAACAAAAAGGTAAGAATGAAAAGAATTTGCAGCTAGAAAAGGACCCAATCATTTATGNTATATATAAAAAAATGATGGACAAAGGGACATGGATATGGCCTGTGTGGCCCAGTCTCACAGAATACATATAATTAAAATTTCTTGCTAAAGAAATTGATCGTAAAAGTTAAAACACCCAATAAAACTTAATAACTAAAATATTGAGTTATATATATAAGTAATTTAATTTAAAATTTGATCCTTTTTTGGTTTGAAATTGAAATCATAAGAAAAAGACAAATTCACAAAAATAAATCCGGTCATCTGAAATTGACTGACGTTGACCAATTTAGCTGGAAGTGGTATTTAGGACATAAGCTTATATATTATTGTATTGATCAGAGGCCCGTACTTGCCAAGTTTTCCACCGACCATCTCCAACCCGGGTCAAAATCATTGCGTCGACCCAATAAGAACAAGATTTTTTCTTTTGAAAAGCTTGGGCTCAGTGTTTTGATTGTAACAATTAGGTGGTATAACTTCGGCCCATATTTGAATTAAACTATAAAATAGGATTGGCCCAGTCTTCTATTTGTCACTCGTAAACCCCGTTCAAACTCTTTCCAAGCTACAAACAAACGTGACATACAATCCCTCTTTATATATTATTTCAAAACATGTAAAACCTAAGTGGTAGATTCTCACGCTTCAGATGCTAACATAACTAAAATCTATATTTTGTAATGTTTATATATTCATTTTTGCTCTGGAGTTAGGCTTGTTATTAGACATAAATAAATTTTTTCAAATTTGATAAGTGTATATTTTGTTTTGTTATTTTTTTTTTCTTAGTATACATTTCCTTCTTAGTTTGGGCAAGTAACAATCTTATCATATTATAATTTTCTCCCATATTTCTCTCATAAATTACGATTTACAAATTACTTTCTGCATTGTCTATTCCTCTTTTTTTTTTTCATCAATTAGTCCATCAAAATTTTTAAATAAAAAATTTATTTTAGCAATAACTTTTATCATATATTTCTTAACTCAACACCCGTGTAGTACACATGTATTGTACTAGTATGATTTTATGACAAAAAAATATGGTTGACTCAAAATTCATTTAACAATGTGCTTCGTTATGATAAATGAAACGGGTAACCCGAGCGATCTTGTTTAAAACTTGACAAGTATAATCTTATTTTACATAATTTACTATATAAACTCTTATCATATATTATTACTTTAAGACTTGAGCTCGTTTGTACACTCTTTAACTTAACAAGTCTAATAAAGCTTGACTCGATAAAGACTCGAGCTCGAACTCAAGTATTAGGGGTTTGAGTTCGGCTTCACTCGTTTACAACTCTAGCTGAGAGTAGGTAAAATTGGAATGTAATTAACACACAAAAAGAAAAAGAAAAAAAAGAAAGAAAACATTAAACTTCATTAAAACGAGAAAATGGACTCACACAACATATTTCTTCCTCACACCACCGTTGCCAATTTCACCCGAACGTACGAACAAGAATCAATTTAGCACCTTACACTACATTGATCTTGTAGCAGCTAACACTTGTATTAAACACTGCCTCCATATTTCGCTTAGCCAACATAAAACCTTAAACAAACACGGATAAAACTCAAGAACAACGATAGCCTAACAACAACAAAAACAACAACATAATGAAATACCGAGTAAGTTAATTGATCCTCCTGCAGTTAGCCCTGATCTGGCCGTTGGTCCCGGTCAACGGATTAAGGTTCGACATTTTGACCATGGCATTGGCAAAGTCAGTTAGGAATGTATTCGAATTGTTGGCATAATTGGTGACAATAGCATCGGCCGAGCCACCATTGAAAAGTTGCTGGTCCGAGTGTAGCAAACCCCTCAAACCCACCAAATCCCGAAAGTAGTCGTTGTTGAATTGCACAGGACTGCTGTCCAGTGGCGCCAGATTGTTGTCTCCGCCACTGGACGGGCAGTTGGCCTGCCTGGCCGCTGCAAACGTGGCATTTATGTTCGTCTCGTTATATATCCTCGACCTGAATAATGTGCATCTCGCCTGTCCGATCGTGTGACCCCCTATATATTCACGAAAAAATATAGTGTTGTGATGAAAAATGATTTTTTTTAATGAATAACTATAATTTGGTTCATGTGATTTGACTTTGAGGTCGAATTTCACAACAAGAAATTGTCAAAATACCAATAAAAATTACCAACTCAAATATTTCCGTAACTAATATGTCCGACCAACTTCGACTCGTTAAGCCGACTAATTAAATTTTTTTCGTAACTAATATATATAAGGCACGCGCACCTGATAAGGCGACTAACTCTGTCAAATTGAAACCCTTGTTCGAAAAGGAAGTGACGAGGCCCGAGAGGTTGAGGAAAGGTGACGGAATTTGGTTATTCGCGTCGCTACGACTTGCATTTGTGGCGTCTCGTCTCCCCAAGGCGACGTCCCAACTCGGTCCCCCTAGCTGAATTGAGTTTTTAAGCAAATATACACAAATCATCGATAAAATCAAAACGATATATCGACATTTTTTTTTCTTTTTAAAAAAGGAAAATAACTAGTTTATTGATATGGATTTTGATGTACTAACTGCGACGACGCCATCACGGGCGGCAACGGCGAGAATGTCGGCGCACGAGACGATTCCGGGGCACGCAGACTCCACCTGAGATTTGATGGCGTCGATTACTTCAAACCCTCTCAACGAGTTGTTGTTGGGAAGTGCTGTCTTTTCTCCCGTGAAGTTCGCCGTGTCGTCAAGCAGAACCGACGCGTCGCATCCCTTTTTGGTTTTTTATCGAAAGATCATGATCGTTAGAATCACATTATATATAAAGAACTTTCACATGATTCCTCTTCGCTCGAAATAAATATAGTTTTTTACAATTGTCATAGCTTAATCATGCTATGATTCGAACCGAGTAGTTTTTCATTATTCGCTTCGGTTCAATTCGTATACCACTCCAGTTCATGCATGAATACACATAGTTTTTACAATTGTCATAGGTCGTTCATGCTAATTCGAATCGAGTAGTAGTTAAGTATTCGCTTCAATTCAGTTCAGTTACAAGTCCAGTTCATGCATGCACGCATGCACGAAAAATATATTCTAGATATTAATTAAGTTGTAACATTAAAAAAAAAAAATTAATTAAAATCATGAAAGGTGTGTAGCTTATAAAGCTTACGTTGACAAAACAGTCGTGGAAATGGAGACGAAGAAGGGACGCGCCCATACGCGGGTCGACCGACACATTTTGATTCACTATTTGACTGATGATGGAATTTAAGCTAGGGCACGATTGGTTGTAGAAATTTGGCGTCAGTTGGGCATTGACGATATAGATAGCTCTCATTAGAATGATAACGAACATAAATCGAGTAAAAAATGTCAATATTGTGCTATAAGTGCCGGCCATTGTTGATTAGTTAGTTCAAGATATTAAGAGTTGGGAAAAAAAGAAGTGATTTTTTCTTTAGTATGGAGATGAGTATTTATAGTAGACGATCATCACTCATCAGCAAGGAGTTACTTACTTGCATTGCTATTTGCTCGCATTTATTTTACTATTATGCACCATGATTGGTGGAAATTGGAAGCTTCTGAGTCAGCATTTTCAATTAATTTTAAGACTTTAAATCAGTGTACTACGAAAGAAAAATATTTATAAGAATAAAATTATGGACTTGGTCATGTATGATATATATAATTATAATACCACCAAATATGTGAAAATGAATCAAAGTTAAAATTTTTAGTGTCTCGTGACTAATTAAGTATCAACTTGTGTAGAATTTTTCTCTGTTTCCACGTGTGCCATCTCAATTTCAAAAATTAAAGAGAAAAGTATGTGCATGAGATGTACTAATATAACATAACTAGAATATTCTAAGCTCATATAATTTGTCAAAATAAGTAATGGATATAACATAACTAGAATATTCTAAGCTCATATAATTTGTCAAAATATTCAGGACATTGTAGAATTATTGCTTCAATAATATTATTTATTATACTACTATTTATGGGGGCACATAACCAATATAATGAGGAATCATTAGACATAATAGTTGGTAGATAAATTTATTTTGAATTAAAATTTGTAATACTTTTTTTCTATTAATTTTTGAACACACATTAATCTAAAACTTGTATGATAGAACCTTTGTACATTACATAAAACTGCTTGTTGAAATTATGTAAGCATTTTATGATTTTAACATCCTAACCTAAATATACATATCTAATTCAAATCTTAATCTTGAGTATACTTTACTACAAAAAAAAAAATAAAATAGTGTTATATATATATAGATCTCTGAATTTATATAGTGTATATTTAAAAATCCATCAAAATTAACTCTGATGGAGTAAGTTTTGACTGTAAATTTAGCTCTTCTAGTTGATGATTTATAATAATATGTGAATTATTGGCTAAAATTATAGCATACTACGTGTTTTCTAGAAGCTCCAGTACACTGCCAGAAATCACTTATATAGGTAGACTGGTTTGATTAATTTTGTTTTTATTCATCAATTTAATTTCTGTGTTCATATGGCAATCATATGTATTTCTGTATAAGCATGGAATTAAAACTCATGGCTTATGTTCAACCTCCAATATGGATGTAAACGATCAGTTAATTACTTCTTAGTATGATAGTATTGCAAAACCGACCGTCCATATTTTACTAACACATAATTCGATTGGTAAACTAATATTAATTTTGGCAAAATAGATTCTTTATAGAATCATAATTAAGTACATATTTATATATTAGTACTAAAAAAATGCAATTTTGGCACTTTTATATTAACCACTATTCAGAACAGGTCCACAACTAACTTTTGCAGTTTTAGAAAAATACACACCAGTAAAAATCTACGAAAATATGTCAAAAATGTAAAGTCTAATTAGCAAAAAATTGAAAAGAATATATATCCACTAAGTCATATGTTTGGATAGAATGTATGCAATTTGATTAATTAGTATATATTTTCTCCAAATCACAAAAGTTATTAAACAAATTGTTATATGTTTAAAGTTATTGGACATATATTTTCTTCCAACTTGCAAGTTTTGGTAGTCTTTCACGTGGGAGTAGTTTTCATTAGGAGATGACTCTTTCACGCAAAACCCCTGTTAGAGCATCTCCAATGTAGCTTTTGACATTATAAAAATTCATCCATATCATCAATTTTTAAAAGTGTGTTACTAATTTGTTCTCCAATGCATCTTGTCATGAGCTCTTTCATGATGAGGTGGATAGCATTTAATGTTGACAATGTTGAGCACACTTTCTAATACCTAACACCATGTTAAACATGATGACTAATCAATTCACTTTATATTTGATTTAATTTTTTATTGTTCTTGTATTAATGATTATTTTAATTGGTCCACCTATACAAATAACTTCTTACCAAATTGATGCATTGGAGATACTAGTTTGATTCAAATTTCTACTCTTTTAACATTATTCCTACAGGGATTAACATTACAATCATTGATTGACATGTGTTAAAAATCATTGTCTTTCAAAGCTATAGCATTGGAGATGCTCTTAGCGTCTAACAGCTAAAAGATTAAAATTAGACGGGTTGAATCATTATATTTTTTTTTTTATTTAAACTATTATTATATTATAAAATAATGATCCTTAATAAATCCTCTGACTATATATGCACATTGATACATTATTGGAGTTCCATTTCAGGCTTTAAATGTAGATTGACATTCATTACAGCATGATTTTAGGAAAGAGACGACGAACATGAATAGTAATTATCACTGAATTATACATATATGTCCTAAGTTTATTTTCATATTCTAACTCTAGCACAAAAATGACTTGATCTACCAAAACAAAATTCATTTGACAAAATGCTAGTCAAAAACACGAATTCAAATACTTAAATTTTTGCATGAATTAAAACACAATGTCAGTATTCTATGTCTCTATAATTATAAGCCCAACGTGAACTTCTCACACATTCGTGGTAAGATTTTAGACTTTTAGTTATCTTTGAGTGATTGCACCAAAGACTTTTGGCCTCGTTAATTATTGATCATTGGAAATTTTAACGTTTTTTATTTTCAAAATTAGACTTTTGCACCTCCTTTAATAGTATCAATCAATCAATACTGTTAATATTCAAATNATCATTGAGTTGAGAATCGCATATTGGACTAATCTGTAACCTTGATTTTTGGATCTTGTCATGCCTTCATTCCTATCAAGGGATGGAAAAATTTAAACCGGCCAATTTCTAAGTTTGGGCCATGCTTTGACCTTTGAATTTAGTGCTGGTATTTATGCATTTTAACTAGATATATAAACGAAACAAACTGCTTATGGAACTGGCTCAATCCGCTCGTTAATGCGTCTCTATGTAATTTCTAAATTATATTTTTTTTTTATTTTTGACACGTTAAAAACCAAATTCGACTAATTTATTATTTTAATAAACGTGCTCGAGCACATTTATAATAACTAGCCTATAGTTAACAACTAGGTTCGATAAAAGGCTCAAGCATTAATAAGAGCTCGACTCAGAAATCACGTTACTTAGCTATTTGTCTTATAACTGTAGAATGAGTTATTTTTCTTTAAAGAAAACAATATTAGGAATAATTTAGCCATTGATGTTTAAAATTTCTTAATATGTGCTAAAACATCAAAACTGTTTTAACTAACCGAAATGTTAATATAATATATTCACATACATTAATTCCGCTGATTTTTCATCGAGGTTTTTGTAGTGAATTTATTGTCAGTGTTACATGAGAGAAACCTCATTCATTAAAATAGACTCGACTCGTCAAGAATCAAAAATAATTTTTTTTTAGAATAATTTTATATATTTCTATTTGTTAAAACTCGAGATTCACTTGTTTTTTTTTTATCTTTTTTTTTTTCTCTTACATATTCACTTGTTAATATTAATTAATGAGCTAAATTTGAGTTTGTTTAGTTAACGAGTTGAATTCAATTCAACTCGATTTGTGATCTCTACTCTAGCGAGGACTTTATTTTACTCTAGAGTACAGTTAAACATTCATCTCCAGCCCTTATCTCTACATTTTACTCTATCAAATATATTATTTTTTTATTTCAAATAAATTGGTATATATATATATATAATCTTATATAAATATTTATTAACCAAATTATACAAACGACAGGCGTTTTGTTGGGCAAAGTCTGGCTGATTTTTTTATTTTTAATTACTCCACTTTGGAAAAACAAATGTACTTAGAAACGGCTTAAATTAGTTAATCATCCAAGAGTTGACTTCGCTAAATCTTATGTACGACTCAGTGTTCTGACAATCTGATTACCTCAAAGTCCAAATTGTATGTTAATTAACCATTTAAGTATTGTCCCAATAGGAAATCTTTTCAAATCACTATGACCACAAATAATAATAATAATAATAATAATAATAGATAAATAAATAAAATAAAATAAATGAATAAACTGCAAGTATCATTTTCAACTTTTTTTTTTTCAATATTATAAATCCTTCAAAGAATCTTATTATAAATGCTATTAAATAACTAGGACTATGTAATCAAATTTAATGTACTTTCATTCTTAACAAAAATTGCAATTAATGCAAAATCTGCGCCATTCAAACAAAATTGTTATTAGGCAAATTTAACGAAATATCATACTTTTATAAGTATGTATTTTTGCTGTGTAAGTATGTATTATTGCTAAAAAAAAATGTAACGGTCCATCTATTTAATGATTTTGTGCAGTTTCACGAAATAAAAATTAGGAGAGCAACTATTATAGTGTCACGTAATTAAGTTTCTTATTAATGACGAAATTCACTCAAAAGGTACAAGAGCATCAATGCAGCACCTTACGCTACATTGGCCAACCAAACAATACAAAAGTCAACAATACAGACAAATATTTCAACGAAAAACCAAACTAAAGCACAACATCACCACAAACAAACACAACATTTTTAGTTGACTTAGTTGGTCCTCCTACAATTAGCCCTGATCTGGCCATTGGTCCCGGTCAATGGGCTAAGGTTCGACATTTTGACCATAGCATTGGCAAAATCGGTTAGAAAACTGTTTCCGTTATAAACGTAACCGTTGACAATACTGTCGGTCGAGCCATTGTTGAAAAGTTGTTGGTCTGAATGCAGCAAACCCCTCAAACCCACTAAATCCCTGAAATAGTCGTTGTTGAATTGAGCGGGACTGCTGTCTAGTGGCGCTAGATTGTTGTCTCCACCGCTAGCCGGGCAGTTTCTTCGTCTGGTGGCCGCAAATTGCCCGTTTATGTTTGACTCGTTGTATATTCTTGTCCGAAAGGTCGTGCACCTCGCCTGCCCTATCGTGTGCCCACCTATATATATATACACGACCGAAAGGACGAAAAAGGAAAGAATTTAGACATGGACATTAAATTAACAACATATTGTACATCCTTATTATATAAAAAGTGCAAACTTATGTTATGAGATGTCACGTTTTTGTTTATATTGTATTTTAAAATATGATACATCTGACTATAAAAGTGTATATATATTTGTTAGAAGGTCATCAAGGTATGATCAGACAATCTGACGAGAGACCTATTGTTTAATCTGATTGTTTATTTTAATTTTTGTATATTTTAAAGGCTTTCGAGTCGAAATTGGTGACTAACTAAATTTCGACTCGTTGCTGACTGCAGTTCTTTTTGCACAGATTCTTTTTTTATATTGTATTTTAATATATGCTTGAAGGTTATGGTTAGACGGTCTAACAAAAGACCTACCGTCTTTTTAACCAAATTTATTTATTTATTTTTCCTTAATATATGGCTTTCAGATCGAAATTGATTAACAAAGATGTACCTGAAAGGGCAACAAGTTCCCTCGGTGTGAAACCTTTGCGATTAAAGGAGGTAATGAGCCCACTCAAATTGAGAGTCGGTGCTGGGATTTGGTTGTTGGCATCGCTTCGACTTGCGGTGGTTGAGTCCCTCCTCCCGAGCCCAACTTGCCAGCTCGGACCCCCGAGCTGAATCAAACCGAAAAAAAAATGAAATTGTTAGTTAACAGGAGTTAATTTATTAATTTCGATTAGTTTTAGTAATTATTATTACCGCAATAACTCCATCGCGTGCCGCGATGGCCAAGATGTCGGCACAGGAGACGACCCCACGGCACGCTGCCTCCACCTGCGTTTTGATGTTGTCGATCACCTCAAATCCCCTCAACGAGTTGTTGTTGGGAAACGCGGTTTTCTCTCCCGTGAAATTTGCCGTGTCGTCGAGTAAAACCGATGCATCACATCCCTATTTTTTGTTTTGAAAGATGGAAAAAAGGTTACAATTAATATTTATGAAATCACGAACGTAACGCATGTTAATTCGCTACCGTGCATGCATGCATGCATTGAAACAAAATGTATGTAACATTATCTATGTGTGGATATGTGAGACGGTCTAACTGTTAGGTAGGTCAGTAGGCAAGCTGGTCGAAAAAAAAAAAAGAAGAATATTAAGTAGCTAATGAGAAATTGAGTATCAACTTACATTAACAAAACAATCGTGAAAATGGAGACGAAGCAAAGAAGCGCCCATACGAGCTTCGTTCGACACAGCTCGGTTCACGATTCCTCTTACAATCGATTGTAGGTTAGGGCATGTCGTGCTATAGAATCCCGACGACAATAATGACTGGGATTTGCTCGATCCAATCACGAGCAAGGAAAATATTAATGGAACCCAAAAGTTAGTTGCCATATGAATTATGATGATTAAGTTTACTTATGAGTATTTGAAGAAATTTTTTCAAAGGCTCAAAAAGAGTTTGAAACAAGTTCTTTGGTGTGGTTCTACAAGGATGAGTTTTCATGGTTATTTATAGTGGATGATTCTCCAGAGGTTAGTTGTGTTGCTCATTTATTTTATTTTATTTTATTTTCAGTCTTGTTTTTTTATTTATTTTTGTTAATAGGGTGTTGATCTATTGGTCAATTCATGTAATTAATCAAAGATAAACCCGTGATACTTTTTCAGCGATTGGATTTATTCGTGATATTTTTTTTTTTCGGTACAACTTTTTTATTCGTGATATTGACTGGGCAAGNATCATTTTGGGACATGTATGGAAAAGTGTTAACTGGGTACGTAAAGATTAAGAAAAATATATGTGGAAATTAGTGTTAATGATTAAGGAAATTTAATAATATGGGATAATTTTAGGATTTAATGGTACTTTAAAATGAAAGTGGAATATTTGTATAATTTTTATCTATTTATCCTATTGTAATATTAGTATTACTTCATCTTTTGTCATAATATATGAGAGAATTTTCTTATGCATGCTCTGACTTTTATTGGCATTTGGTAGTAGTCTTATATAATAGGTCTAGTTCATTTTATCCTTCTATTTGAGCAAGAGGATTTTATAAGATAAATTGCAATCTAAAGAAACCACTTTTGATAAGGATAATTTTGTTTATCATAACGTGAGCTAATGATTATATTTCCATTCATATTACTACAAAATAATGAGCTAGCTGCCAATTCATTTTGAGAATCCCATTCGATTGACATCATATTAAGTCGTTATTTCAATTTTTTCCATTTGAGTAATTAGTTATTGAGATTGTGATAATATATGTAAATCAATCACTAAAGTAACTACTGAGATTGTGATAGTACACATGATTATTTCATTTTTTCAACTGTATTAGCTGGAAATGACTTGGTTAATTTAACTGTACATAGTCACTATTTGAGAGTTGAAAATCTCAACGAGGTGACAAGTCTAATAAGTTATATTGCATGCAGGTATTATATATCTAAACAACTTGGTAAAGGAGACTATACTTTTCTTAAAGTGTGAAAGAGTTATATTTTTTACAATAAAGTTCAAAAATAATATATTGAAGATATGTTATTGCAAGTATAAGAAATAAAGAAATGGAAGTTTTTTTATTTATATTTATATGTATATATTCGGATTATATTTATATTTATTTAGATTTGCATGAGTTTATAATAGTTATATTTTGTAGGATATCTTCATGCACGGCAGAATGGAAAGGGGACGCGTTCGTTTGAAACGAGATCAAAGAGGATATTTACTTAATTTCCATGTTTCTACATTTTATTTGGAGAAGATCAAGAAGATCACGCTGGAAGGAAAGAACTTGGAGAAAAAGTTCACGCCTAATGATGCTATATAAACCCTACTTGAAAATCAATTGAAGGCTGTTGAAATTATCATTATTCATAGTATCCAAGCTTCAATTGAGGATTCAAGTTGTTCGTTATTTTCTTTTTAGTTTGCAGTTCAGTGCTTTGATGTTCTTACAACGTCTAAACACTGAAGTTGTTTTGAGTTAGTTTTGTTTATTTTCTTTAAACACTTTTGTGATCGTACTAAGTTTTTCTCGAGGGATCGAGAGTGTGTTAAAGTCCACGGGACGTGGGACAGAAAAGCAGTTGGTAGATTCGAGCATAGTTGTGGTTAGACTAAAAGGGAGTTCTAGTTGTTGTAAGTCTAAAACTATGTACATGTGCACAATCGAGTTATCAATGAAAGTAACAAACGGGAGTTGACGGGTGCGGTCCCATTGACGAAGCGTACCAAATCAGGGAAGCTCAAATGAAGCCCAAGTGAGGTTTCATCCCAAAACTAATTGGTGGTAGGAGGAGTCCCACTAGACTTATAAGTTAAGCCTATTTTCTCTGTACAGACAATGTGGGACAACTCACAAATGTATATTCTAACAGAAAGAGCTCTGAGGAGTAATGGGACACTCCAAATTTTTATATTTATTTTGCTTCCGGTATTTCAATTGTTCTTGTGTTGTTACATAAATTGTCGCAATTCCTGTTCCAACACAAGTTGCATATACTTTTCGAAGTGAAACTAATTTTTTTTTTTTTCCCCAAAATTTCAAGTGTGAATTCGGTAAAGCTCGAGAATCTTGGCTGGTGCGCATATAAAATAAATGATTAGTTTAGTGCTTTTATTTGGGATGGCCAACTTTTTTTGAGCTATCCTTTTATTTATTAAATTAATAAATATAAATCAAACCATGCAAAAATAACAAAATTACTGATCATAATATAATACCACCAAATTCGGAGGTTTTATATATAGCACGAATTTCTTATCTGACATGTGCCAAAAAGAGCTAAGACCTAAACCAGTATCTATAAACGTACTTTATGGCTAGCAAATATAGCTGGCTACAGGAATTAATGTTGTGATTATAATTTTGTGTTAAACTGATTGACTAATTCAAGTCTTAGAAAGGAAATTAAATTTGAGTGAAAAAAAAAATTGTGAAATAATAATTATAATTCTTCTCCATTTATACTTATTAAGCCAACTTTAAGTTTGATGATATCAAATCTCAACTTCTCCTTGCTGTTTGTAGTGTTTTTGCTGAGTACGATTGTAAAGACCGACCTCGGGTCGTCTCTCAAAGGAAGGTTGTTCAGATACGAATTCAAGCAACGATTAACTCACACGAAAGAAAAATAAAAAGTCTTAAAAACTGTACTCGTAATTTTGGGTTTTTGATGAAGCTAAAGAACGCAATTTTAAGCTAAGACGAAAGCAAGATTGAAACTTTATCGCAAGCAGCACTTCAAATTGCAAGAAAAAAGAAAATAGAGAGGAAAATAACAAGGTGTCTTAAGACACGAGATGGAAAGAAGGCACTCATGGGTTCGGGAACATGTAATCAATCAATCGTCACTCGCGAATCAATTAATCGAGCTCTCAATCAATTCTCGTTCACGCAATCAACAACAAAATTACATAATCCCTAGCCTACGAGGATGAATGCATACTTTACTCATGAAAGCTCCGACCTTTTTACTCTAGAAAAATCCAATAAATAAAGGTAAGAAAAACTCACGAGATCTTGGACCTTCAACTAAGTCACTGATTGGACCTTAAACGAAGTCTCCAAGTCTCTAGTGCATCCACGAGAAAGAAATAAGTTGGAAAATTGTAATCTTGATGAAGAAATATTAGAATAAAAATTGGGTCTTGGAGCCATTAGAAAGAGAAAGAAAACTAGAGAGAAGGAGGAGAGAAAAATTAAGAAGAAAATTTTACCAAATGAGGAATTGTTCCAAAAATACAAAGCAACAAGTCTATTTATAGCTACACGACAAACATACACTAAAACACACACATTTAATGATCAGAACTCGCGAGCTAGGTGGAATTCGCGAGCAAAAAACCGGATTTTCGCGAGCTAACAGCAGCGGCTTGCGGAAGTTGAACTCGAGGGCAGCTGTTGGATTCACGGGTTGCGAACGACGTTTCGCGGCTTGCGAATTTGGTACCGGTGACTTCGGCTTGACTTTGAGGCTCTAATTCATCGCACGCTTCTCCGACCGATTTGAAATTTCGGCTCAAATTTATCAATTCTTTTTCTCCTTGTCTCGGAACTTTTTTCGAGGCGATTGACCGGGAATTCACTGGGAACTTTTTGACAAGTTTTCGGTGATTTTCCGGCGCCTCTCCAAAGCGTAAATTCCTACAAAATAAACGATGAAAAGAAAAATAAAAAGCACAAAACACAAAAACGACACTAAAACACAAAAACGAGCAAATGTGATTAAATAGACCAGGAAAATCCCAAAATAAAATAAAACGAACACAAATAAAACACATAAAATACATTAAATAACAACAAAAATATACAAAACACTACCCACTTCACAACTTGGCTGTATGAAATTTCTCTGTTTCTCACATGTGCTCGTCACAAATTTCAAAGATTAACGCAAAAAAGTTAGTAAAATGTGCTAATGGACAGCATTAACGTAAGAAGTGACATAGTTAGAAGATTCTATGTGCAAATTAGTCAAAATATTGACAACATTGTTCCAATTTTTTTTACAATTTTATTTAGTAGAGAAACAGTTATCCGACGATGGAATTATCATAATATTTAGAAGTTCAACCAAAATTAAGGTATTCTCACGAATAAGTTTTGAATATAAATTTTCGCTTCAAGTTAACAATCGTGACACTTAGCATCGCGAATAATTATTGAATTAGCAATTTCACTAATAACTGATTGAATTAACAATTTTAACCATGTGATCGTATTGGTTGACTAATTACCAAAGTATTTAATAAATAATTAGCTGTTGGATATATAAAAACAACCAATTTTACAATCTTATGTTCCAAAAATCGCTCATTGTAACCTTTTTGAACCCAAAAAGTATTTCAAACCGTTACATTTCAAACAATTAATAAAATATCAAATTTCTGATTTAACTGAGACCTTCAATTAAGCTTGAAACGAGGTCACCAAATCAATTGAGCACTATAATTTAGCAAAAGACGTGATTTCAAGCCAGAAAAGACCTGCCGTATACAGAGAGAAAATTGGTAGTGTTGATTGGTTCTTTTAATAATTTTGTTTTGTTTTATGCAATGGTTTTCTTGGGTTCATATGGATAGTTAGGTCGGTCTCCAATCAATATTTATGTTTTAGCATGAAACTATTAATTCTGCTACACTATATTAATTAATACGAAATCAATTTTAGCATGAAACTTATATTAATACTAATACAATATCAAATTGAAACTCAATCGTCTTGATTAAATTTATTTGGAAGCTGGTTTTATTTTAAGTGACACTCATGTATACAAGAACAAAATATTTTTTAATCACATTATTAGTTCAACACAAATATCCTACATAAGAAACGCTGATTTTATTCCAAGGGGATTTTTTTTTTTCATTGAAGTGTGGGATGAGATATGAATATTTCTCTGAAGAGGTAGATTTGTGAGCTTGGTTAAAGTTATCATCAATTCATTAAATGGTTATT